GAGTTGTCCCTGGGGCTGACTGCTCCTCTGTCCGGGTTCCTGGCTTTTATCCCCTTTCTCCTGCTCTTCTGGCCTGCTACTCTGGGCGGGCCTGAGTTTGTCTCCTCACCTAATCCCTTCGGCTGATTGCTCTTCTCTCTGGCTTTTAATCCCCTTTCTCCTGCTCTTCCCGCCTGCTACTTTGGGAGTCCCTGAGTTGTCTCTCCTCACCTGTAACCCTGGGGCTGACAACAACCTAAGTACACACAATGGTATACTACGCAACACTAAAGAATTATGTAGAATTTACCTCATAATGTGGATGAACTTGGAGGACATTATACTGAGTGAAATAAGTCAATCACAGAAGGATAAATATTGTATTAGTCTAATATTTTAAAAAGTTAAGGAAATGTTTATATATGGGAGAAAACTTTCCTTGTTGGTTACCAGGCATGGGAGGGGAGAGGAAGCAAAAGTGCTAGATAGAGAAGAGACAAGTATTGATTTGGGTGAAGGGAAAGACAATATACCAAAAGCCAGTGATCAACACTAAGGAAAAGGAAGACACAAAGAGGTGCACAAGAGGTACAGACACAAAGATAAACACTTTCACATACACAATATTGCATTTAAAAAAAAATGTTAAACAAGGGAAATGCAAAAAAAGGAACAAAATTGGACCATCAAAGGTTATGACTATATATGTATTATAACTATATATATATTAAAATTTGTTTATATCCTCATAAAACAAACAAACAAAAAAAACCTAAATCCGTTGCCATCAAGTTGAATCCAACTAATAGCAACCCCCACTGGGTTTCTAAGGCTGTAAACTTTATGGGAACAGAAAGCCTTATCATCCTTCCATGGAGCAGCTGGTAAGTTTGAACTGCCAATCTTCTGGTTAGCAGTTAAATGCTTTAGACACTGCACCACCAGAGCTCCTTTTATATCCTCATAGAATATGGAAAAACAAATAAAAAAGTGAGAGAAAAAAAAACGATTAAGAAATAAAACCATAGTTTTTTTTGTATGCATATAATATATAGATGACAGATGCTAATATCAACCAGTATATCCACAATATTGCATTACCATTAATACCAAACACCAGGCTACAGATAAACACATAAGATCAGATGGGGGTCAGTGAACAGAAATATACTCTAGACCAAGGACAGATTCAGCAGAGGCTAATCTTGCACAGATATCAGTGATACAAAATAACCGCAATCCTTACAGAAACAACAGAAGACAGACATAGAGTAATCCCTCACAGACAGCCAGACACTGTGAGAGAGAGATTCAATGGATCTACCGACTCAGGACCATACTATTGGGGGACACCAGACTGAACTGGCACAACAAAATACATAGAAGTCTTGTTCCTCCTCCTACATTGATGAATAGTGACCGGGGTCTTAAAAGCTTTCAAGTGGCCATCTAAGATGCAGCTAATGGTCTCCTAACATTGGAAGTAAAGAAGAATGCAAAAAAACAAGGGCATTTGGAAACAATCAGCCCTAGGACATGATGGCCTCGAGACCAGAACTAGATGGTGCCTGGCTACCAATGCTCACCACTCAGGAAAGGATCAAATATGGAGATCCTGGATAGAGTGGGAGGAAAAACATGGAACAAAATCCAAAAACTCAATAATGACCAAAATTATTGGTCAGACAGAGTCTGGTGAGACCCCCAATACTATGCTCCTGGGATATATTCTGGGCCTGGCTCTCAGCCCAATAGTAAACAAGACGTACATGCGGACCACTCAACCCAGGGTGACGCACCCAATTACTCTATGGACTTGCATCCCTTGCGGCAATCTACCATGGTGAACCAGAGTGGCAACATTCACATGGAGGAAATGCAGGACATACAGGACTTCATAACTATGAAGGGCATAGGGGGAGGGTTACTGGGCAGGGAGGGGAGGAGACTGGGTTAGGGTTGGACATGGTAAATGGGGAGTGAAACTAAACATATATGTAATGTTGAATGTAAAACAAACTCTTAAAATAAAAAATTAAAAAGAAAAGAAATAAAACCAGAAAGGAGATGATGTTGTTGTTGTTATGTGCCGTCGAGTTGTACCCGACTCATAGCGACCCCTCCTTGGGTTTCCAAGGCAGTATCACTATGGAAGTAGATTGCCCCATTTTCCTTCCGAGGAGTGGCTGGTGGGTTTGAACTGCCAGCCTTCTGGTCAGCAGTCAAGTGCATTAGGCACTATGCTACCAGAGCTCCTAGAAAGGAGATAGCAGACCCAATATATGGAAAACAGGTCTGTCAAAATAAGGATTTATTGATATTTTTTAAAATGAAGACATTCTAAATGAATATTCAGTGTAAGGGCTAAAGATCATGAGCTAGTAGAATAATGTGACTTAAGAACTGTCCTCTCAGACAAAGTGCTGGATGAAATGCAAATTGGTATATCCTTATTGAGAGTAATCTGGCAATATCTACCTAAATTATAGATCCACTGACCCATCAATCTAACTTTTAAAGATCTATTCTCCAGATTTGTCTGCATATGTATGAAATAATATATCTTTAGGGTTATTCATTATAGCATTGCTTACAACAGCAAAAAACTAGAAACAACCCAAACACCCACTGATGGGGGACTTGTATGATAAACTACATGCACACATACAATGCAACTTATTAAAAAATGAGAATGCTCTCTATATTGTCAAGTAAAAAGAAAAAAAACATGTATGTTACCTTTTCTTTAAGAAAGGGGGAAAAAAGGAAAATATATTCTTATTTTCTACTTGTATAACCTGGAAACAAATGAAAATGATACCCTAAGAGGTATTAAGAGGGGTGAAGCTAATAGTGGTTAAGGGTGAGACAAAACTGCTCTTTTTTACCCCTTTTTATATTGTTTGATGTTTGAACCAGGTAGCAAAAAATAAGCAAATTAAAATTTTATAGAGCCTGTTTCATTGTCCTATACTTTGCACTGAATCAGTTTCTTCCTGACACTACTTTTCCTCTGCTGAGCACTTTCATACCAGAAACAGGCCTAATTGCCAAAGATAGGGAAAAAATATTTCAGTTGATAAGAAACAGCTAACAGCAATTAACATTAATGAGTATTTTAAAAAAAAGGAAAGAAAAATGATATTGTCTAAATCAGAGGCTGAAACTATGGCTTTTGGATCAAACCTGGGTCCAACTGGTTTCTGTACATCCTATGAACTATTAAAGGTTTTTACAGGTTTCTAGGGTTGAAAAGAAAAAACAAAGAATATGCAACAGAGATCTTAAGTCCACAGAACTAAAATGTTTACTATGTAGTCCTTAACAGAAATGTATGCTGATTCCTGGTAAAAAAATATCCCCTATCTTAAACGTTCTTAGTGAAGCAGCAGAAGTACAGACTAATTACCTTGTATGTGCAGATAGTCAATTTCCTCTTTCTGGTTTCAGTGTTTCTCTGTAGTAATGTATTACACATCTGGAAAACTTGCTGCATGACAGCATCTTGTCTCAGGTCATCACGGCCCTTCAGAATAATCAAATATGAATACCTAAGTACAGGTCACTTTCTTTATTACTATGAAAAGAGTCATTTGAGGATGACAGAAAGGTTCAAAAATCATTCTAAGCATCTGAGCTCCTCTTAACAGGCTCTTACATTACTGAGATCTACTACCATTCTTTCATTAGAATAAGCCATAATTTTGGACAGGCAGACTGATTTAGACTAAAGAAGTTTTCCCTAGCTGCTTTTGTAATTAGACTAATTGGAACTCTCCTACCTGAGGGCATACTGCAGCAACCTACGCAGGGCAGCACAGGCTCTACTAATCCCAGCAGGGCCCAGATAGCTCCTAAGAAGAGTCAGTGAAAGGGGAATGCTGGTCCTTTCTGGTACATTAAGGAGCACTTAGTATAGTATTCAGTGTATTGAACCAAGGGTTTTCACCTTCTAGTATTATAGGAAATAAGCAATAACCACCAAATATTTTATTTTTTATTTTTGTCAAACAAAACCCAAACCAAACCCACTTCCATTGCGTTGATACCAACTCATAGGCACTCTATAACACAGAGAAGAACTGCTCCACAGGGTTTCCAAGGCTGTAAATCGTTATGATAGCAGAATGCCTCATTTTTCTTCCACAGAATGGCTGAGTGGGTTTAAACTGATAATCTTGTGGTTAGCAGCTAAATGCCTTAACCACCACACCAGCATACTGATTATTAATTTCATCATGTCTGCACATGTTAACAGTATTTTTTTACTCCAACTGTCATAATTATGGTCTTTTCAGAAATACAAAATGATGAAGACAAGCATTCTGGTTCTACAAAATAATGTATTTCTATCCATATGTTTTCCTTACTGGTAATTATTCAGAACAAAAATAAAGCAGGAAGAAAATAACAAAGTTTTCCTTCGACTTTAAAGTCATTAACTCTCTAGGAACTGCATCAGAGAAGGGAAGC